TTTCAATTGCCGTTTGAATTTAAACATCCTGTTTGTCATTCATCAAAACAAAAATATTCCAGAAAAATAATAAAGGGGTTTGAACTCATGTCCAACAATTTCCCCCTTTTTGATAATGACAAACATAGTTGAGAAAAAGCAAAGTATGAGTTCAAGAAATACTTGCCTTAAATTAATTCCCCTTGCATGGTTAGAGAAGTGCAGTAAAAAAAATTCGGAGTAATAAGCGGAAAAACGTTTTTGAAAAACAAGTTTTCTCAACTATCCTTCCTTCCCCCTTTTGGCATTATCAACCGATAACCTTCCCCCTTAATCGATGCCGGGATTTTGAAGGATAGTAAAAAGATTGCAAGAGTTTTCTTTAAAAGAAGAACTTCTAACAAAAAGTCACAAAGGGACAATATGTTCAAAAAAAAGAACAATATTGCCAAACCAACAATAATATCAATGCATAATTAATACATCAATTAACAACAATAATTTGCATCAAGCAAAGCAACATCATCATCCACCAAAAGATTTAAAAAACAATAACAATTAACAATGTATCATAATAAGTCATAACATAAACAACGTCAACAAAATCAAAGAGAATGCGCAAGACGAGCTCCTCTGCTAAAGCTGTGATGCGGGCCACAGAAGGAGCTGGATTGCTCGAAACGAGTGATCCTCTCGTTGAGCTGGCGAACGTCATCTCGAATGCATGTGAGAATGTCAAAGATCCTCTTCACCCAAGAAGGTTTTGGTGCTTCTTCTCTCGGACGAGTCCTGCGTTGACGAGTGACGTGTTCCGTGGTTCATCTTCCGCCGGCATGAGACGACTCAGCTTTGTTCTCGCTCTCCTCTTCGTCGGGAACAACCAATTCCAGATTTTGCTCGTCGGTTGTCTCTTTGCGGAAGACAATCCGGGTGAACTTGGTGTCCTTGATGAAGCAAGTCTTCTTCACCGGCACCCGGGTGTCCCGAGTAAGGTCCACTTTGCAATGAGCAAAGATATGCATGATAGAGATGGCAAAACAAAGACGTGAAAAACGAGTACCATCACCAAGTGCAACGAGAAAGAAGTGAACCCAATCAAATTTGACATTGTTCAATAGGTCGTGAAACAATCGAATGTCGTCCTTGTTGACAACGCCATAGTTCGATTCACGGGGCAACAAAACGTAAGAGAAGATGTATTGTTGGACGTGTTGGATCAAAGTGAGGTTAATGACACTCGGGTTGCTAGAATTTCTAAACTTGAGGTCACGATAATCTAACCCGAGTTGTCTCTAAATCGCCTCATCTTGGAATGTTTCATCAGAGTTGTCGGTAATTTCACCTCTACGAAGGCCAAAGAGAGTGGTCAAACCGACACCGTCAACAAAAACGGTTTTTCCGTTAACATAGGAGATGAGAGATGGCGAGTCTCCCAAAGTGGTACGAAGAATAGCGTAAAATTGACGTATAAGATTTGGACAAAAGAATTCATACGTCAAATGAGTGAAACGGAGCAAACCTTGTTGAGAGAAAAGGGACTTGCTCGGGGCATAGGTCGCCGTCTTGAAGATGTTGTGGAACCTCTCGACTGATGCTCCAGTGTTGAAGGCGAGGCCAGTTTGGATGTGAATGTACTTGCTCCCGTCACGACGCCATGGACGCTCCCCTTCTTCCGTCGCCGATTCTTGACACGAGGTAGGGTTCTTGCACCTTGGCATCCTTCCTCTTCGAAATTGATGAAATTTGGTGAAGAAAATCGGAGATGAGATTGAAGGAGAAAGCTAGGGTTTCACACGGCTGAGGCTCTGTAAAACTGAGATGGCGAATAAGATGAAGACGGGCTGACTTTATTAAACAAAAATTAGAATATTAATCAATTAAACAGATTGCATTAATCGATTAATAAATGAAGCGAAGTCCAAAAAGATTGCGCTGAAGAAATTAATCGATTAAGGAAAAGACCATTAATCGATTAAGAGGCACAGAGCCGACTAATCGATTTCTATACGAGAAGTAATTGATTAAAAAAAAGGGAAGAGATACCTGATACCAAAAACATTTTGACAGAAAAAAACATCAAGTTCAATTCGGGTTTGATACCAAGGGAAGAGATACCTGATAGAAAGGCCCTGCAAAAAAGTTTTTATCGCGCCTCTGACACTCAAATTAGTATAGTCAATAAAAAGAATGAATTAGTTCATACAGATATCCAAAATGCCAAGTTCGTTCCGAATGTGGAAGAAACTCTCCCTACTAAGGGGTTTCATGAAAATGTCCGCCAATTGATGTTTCGTTTCAACAAACTCAATTGTGACATATCCCTTTTGGACATGATCTCGTATGAAGTGATGCCTATTTCTATGTGTTTAGTCCGCGAGTGAAGAACGGGGTTCTTCATTAGACTAATAGCACTCATATTGTCACACCTAATTGGGATGTGATCAAGTATAAGGCCGAAATCCACTAGTTGTTTTAGCCAAAGAATTTGGGCACAACAACTTCCCGCAGCGACATATTCCGCTTCGGTGGTGGAAAGTTCAACACTAACCTGTTTCTTACTAAGTCATGAGATTAACGAATGACCAAATAAGTGGCAAGTACCGCTGGTACTTTTCCTATCGAGTTTGCAACCTGCAAAATCCGAGTCGGAATAGCCAACAAGATGACATGTCGAACCTTTGGGATACCAAAGACCTACGTTCAACCTGCCTGCGAGATATCGCATTATCCTTTTGATCGCAGCCAAGTGTGACTCTTTAGGACATGATTGATACCTAGCGCATATACAAACGGAGTACATGATATCCGGTCTACTCGCGGTAAGATAAAGTAAAGAGCCGATCATACCTCGGTAGCGTTTGATATCTACCTCTTTACCTTTTTCGTCCTTGTCGAGATAACAAGAGGTGCTCATCGGTGTGTCAATGGATTTGGATTCGGTAACGTCGAATCTCTTAAGCAATTCCCTGCAATATTTCGTTTGACACACAAATGTTCCTTCTTTGCATTGTCTAATTTGCAGCCCAATGAAGAATTTTAATTCTCCCATCATCGACATTTCAAATTCGCTTTGCATCATATCGGAAAAATCCCTGCATAAAACCTCGTTAGTAGCACCGAATATGATATCATCTACGTAAACTTGAACCAAAAGGATGTCTTGGTTATCTTTCTTGATGAAACGAGTAGTACCGACCTGACCCCCTTTGAACTCATGGTCCAAAAGAAATTTGCTTAACCGTTCATAGCAAGAACTAGGTGCTTGTTTGAGACCGTAAAGCGCTTTTTTAAGTTGAAGACATGTTCGGAAACTCATAATCTTCGAAACCCAGGGGTTGTTCGACATACACTTCCTCTTGAATGATACCATTAAGGAAGACACTTTTAACATCCATTTGATAAAGTTTAAAATTCATAGTAGATGCAAATGCAAGTAATAAACGAATAGCTTCTAAACGTGCAACTGGTGCATAAGTTTCTTCATAATCAATGTCTTCTTCTTGATTGTAGCCTTTTGCTACTGTTAGAATGAAAGACCAACGCTAGAGGGGGGGTGAATAGCGTTTGATCGTAGAAATCGCAGGAATTAAAAACTTAAAAGAGAAGTAAAGAGAAGAGTAAGAGGCACACCGAATTTTACCCTGGTTCACCACAACTTGTGGCTAGTCCAGCCTACCGAGAGACTCTCTCGAGCTACACTACTATCTCGTTAAGCTTGCGGGTGCTTAACAAACCGTTACAACTTGAGAGTTCGAGTTACACGAACCTCAACGAGTCCTTCAAAGGAAACAGCCCTTCCTTTGAATCTACCGAGCGAAATACTTTCTCTCAAAGTGTCTAAGAACACGAATACACTCAAGAACGAGGCTCTCTTATAGAGTGGATTATGAGTAAACTAAGTACGCTCAAGAACAACTCAACCTCAACACAAAATGGCTCTAGAAAGCTATGGAAAATGATGATATTTGAATGCAATGAAAGTATGAATGTTGTGAAGTTGAATTGATGATAAAAGCAGACCCAAACAACCCTTTTTATAGTGCCAAAATAGGCTCCAACGGACCAATGCATTAAAGGGGTGATTAGCTTGATTTATGGGATTGAAAAGATTTGGGATCTGCAGAATATTGGCTTCCCAGCGATGTACGGACCTTACCCATCGCTGGTAGGCCAATTTTCCTTCAGTTTTGAAGCCAACGGTCACCTACCCATCGATGGGTACATGCTTCCCATCGCTGGGTTGGAGGTTGACTTCCAAACAAGGAAAAAATCAACCTTAAATGACAAACAACGGTCATGCCTTCCCATCGATGGTTAAGCCTTCCCATCGCTGGGTTCCCATCGATGGGTAAAGCTTCCCATCGCTGGGTAAGGTCATTCTGCCTTGTGATAATGTTGGACCAAGGCTTTAACAGCGATGGGTAGAACCTCCCATTGCTGTTTGGCATGGTTCTGGAAGTTGGTTTGGCTAAGGGGCCGCTTACCCATCGCTGGGATGTTCTTCCCATCGCTGGGTGGGTGGTTAGCCAAAAACCTATGGTTTTTGCCTTAACCACGGCCTAGCCAACCGATGCAAAAACCGACCGAAAAATCCAAAGTTCTCCAAAATAAAAGCCAAGTGTTTAAAACACTTATTTGATGTAATTGGCTAAGAAATCAAGTGAGTTACTTTAAAAACCACGTCATTTGAGTAAGAACCACGGCTAGCCAAGTTTACGCCGTTTTCCGTGGTTTTTGTCAAACGACTAAAAATGAAAGATGGTTTTCAAAGTGTTTTTGTTGGAGAACCGTTTAAACATCCCAAAGAGTGAAAGCAGATCATAAAATGCAGAAAACCACTTGGTTGGTTCGGATGCCAAAAACCAAAGCCGATAACCGAAAGCCGAACGCTGGTTTCTGAAAGCCGAGCACTGGATGGCTTGGTTTTTGGTTTGGGCGAACACCAAGTGTTTTTAATGACTTAAGCAAGTTTGAAAAACATTTTTATGATGTAAGAAATGCAATGAGAGATTTGATCCTAAAGAGCCAAGGTGTGAAGATTGGGTCGGTCTTGATCACAATAAGGACCGACTCAATACTATGACTAAGGTGTTCGTTCTTGGTCTTCGTTTAGCTCTTGCTCTTATCTTCATTCTTCGCCTTGTATATTCAATGTTCGACTTGATCACGGCGGTTTGGCATTATCAAAACCTGTTACAAAAACAAACACGGCTTTAGTACGAAAACGTGACAAGCCCGTGTTTCAACAATTTCCCCCTTTTTGATAATGGCAAACAAGACGAGGTTATGCATAGGAGGATTATTTGAGAAAAAAAATGTTCCCCCTTAATAGATGCCATTTTACAAAAAAATTCCCCCTCAATTTATGCATAACAACCTTAATATCTTCCCCCTTTTGACATTAACAAAAAGAATTAAAAGTAAGCTTTAGAATTTTAAAAGTAAACTTTTATTCATTAAAGAGGGAAATGCGGAATACAACGGAATGGAAATAAAAAATACAATCATAGTAAGGAGAGAAGAGAGAAGAGTCTAGGCGTCGGCGTCCTCGTCGTCATCCTCGTCGTCCTCGACATCCATGGGATCGTCGTCGACCGCATCTTCAAAGTCGGCCTCGTCGGGGGATGAGGACGGAGCGTAGGAGTCGTCGTCCTCATCCTCGCCTTCAAAGTTTTGGCCGAGAATGGTGCTGTCGAAAGGTGGAGAAACGTAGTTGACGCCACGGAAGTATGCTATCATGTCGTGGTGTTGGCGTTGCAACGTCCAGCCCATCCGCTCAATTGACTGCCCCATGCCATCCACTGTGAGGGTTAGCGGATTCAGTGTATCGGCTATGGATTGCAAAGAGGCCTTGGCGGGAGCGGGGGCTGGTGCACGACTTGGGCCTGCGCCGTCCCGGTCTCCAGACTTCTTCCGGAAGGTGTTGTCTTGAATAATCCAAATCTTCGTCATCTTTGTATCCGGGCCGGCGATGGAGATGTCGGCGGAGATGATGAGGTCCATGACGAGGAAGGCGTATGGCAAGCTCTGCTCAGTGGCGATGGAGGCGCAATCCGCCATGTGGATCATCACGAATTTCGCCCAATTGATGGAGGCGCCGTGGATGATGGCGTGAATCGCCTTCAAGTCCTCGTTGAAGAGCGAGGTATGGCTGCTGTCC